TCGTTATACTTTTGACAGTTTATCGTGTGAACAAAGATTTTTATCAAAATCATTTTTTGAATTAGATTACAAGAGGTGTTGGCAGAGCTAAATAAATTGCGGAAGCAATTGGAAAATTCTGAAAATAAGCTGCAGAGTCAGAGGAATGAATTGGCGAATAAACATGCTGAGGAAAAGTTGACGTTCGTCAAAGTATGTTTAGGCAGTTTTTAAAGAGATTCCACAATTTTTTGCCATGATCTATTTTCACTGACTTTTCTAATTTAGGAACAACAGCGGTTGCTATCGGAATGCGAGAATTTACAATCGCGACTGCAGATGATCGAAAAAGAGAAATGCGACATCGCGAAATCTGCCGCACAAGTGGAAAATAAATTGCTACTTCAAGAAGAGAAGTAAGTCATCGTGCCACAAGCAATAAATTGCACGAACATAATAGGGTTAACTAAACAATTTTTTTAGAATGCAGGAGGCACTAATGGAGCAAAAAAAATGGCAAAAACAAGTAAATGACGCCGAGCGCGAATTCCATTCACAGAAAGATGAATTAGTGAGCGCACACGCCAAGGAAAAAACATTGTTCATTGAAGTACGTTAAAAAGAAATTTTAAAAGATCTTTTTTCTCTTCTTTTCTTTTTTTTTTATTAATGTTGTAAGTTTTAATATCTGTTTTAGGAACAACAGCGACTAGAATCAAAATTGAAAAGTTTACAATCACAATTGAATACACTAGAACAGGATAAGATCAATATTACTGAAATGATCGCACAAAAGGATACACTTATCTCAAAATTACAGAATGAAATCTCCATGTATAAGTGAGTATTTATATTAATCAAATTTAACGAATTTTGAAAATAAAAATATCTTTCGGATTGTGTGCTCTATCGTTAAACTTAAAATTATTAAGGTTTGAGATAATTTGTTTTTTTTATGACAGAAATGAAATCGAGGTGATAATGGCAAGATATAACCAGAGATGTGCTGAGAGCGAAGCATTACTGAAGAGACAAAATATGCTGGAGAATGAATTACGTACAAAAACGGAAAAGGTAAAATAAATATGTAGAGGCTCGTTCATCAATTTTGACCAATATAACATTAGTCTTTACTAATTCTACATTATTTTCTAGATTCAGAATTTAGAGATGATATTAAGCTCACTGAAACTAAGGGAGACAGGTTTCGTTAATGACGTAAACAGAATAGAAAAAAAATTAAGTAGTGAAATAGATTATTCCAAGAATCTCGAAAATAAGCTTTCAAACGTGCAAAAAGATTTGCAACTCTCACAAAAGCAATACGCTGAAATGCAAGAGATTCTGGAAAAAACAAAGAACACCAACGAGTTTTCCATTAACACACTTCAACAGCAACTAAAGACCCTTCAGAAGGAAAAAGAAGTTGTAAAACGAGAAAACACAAAAGTTAAGGTAACAATCAAGCAATTTAATGTAATAAAATCTTTTTAAGTTTAATATTTGACAAATTTTTTGAATTTTTATTTCCTGAACTCTTTTAGAACGCAGAAAGTTTGAAAATACATAAATCAAGCCACCAACAGAGCATCAGTTTTAAAAAGCCATTGCGGAACACAATTAGTCAAATTAAAAAAATATTGTAAATTATCAAAATAAAATGATCAATGACATCAAGAGAGAGCATACAAGCAGTATATGCTGAATGAGTTCTTGGAAACAAGAACGGATAATAGCAGATTAAAGAATAATTATAAATTTATTATTGTAGGCGATAAAGAAAAAAGATTGCACTTCAAATCTATAAGTCCTTGACGGAAACGTAATTACTCTTTAGAATCGATATTTCTCCGAATCAATATCTCTTTAGAATCGATATGATTCATACAAACATTACAAACTTTCTGCATTCTGCAAGAGTTCAAGAAATAAGAATTAAAAAAATTTTTTTGAATATGAGATTGATTTTATTAATATGTTGAATTTCTTGTTTGTCAGGTTTCTACCATGGGTTTATTCGATAGCGATGAAGATAAATCATTGTCGCAGACACTGACTCGTACAGCTTTGACAAAGAAACAAAGTCAGGACAAGGTTTAGATGTTTATACGTTATTAGATATAAATATAACACAAGAAAGTCGAAAAGAAAATGCTAAAAGTAAAAAGGAATAATAATATAATGATGTTTTTTTTTTGCAAACAGGAGAGTTAAGAACTATTGAAATAAGTGAAAGTGAGAGTGAACATGAGTTTTTTAATATATATAATAATCTTATTTATTCTCTCTCATTCACTTATCGGTTCAGGATATTGAAATAATCACGTTTCATTGATCTTTTTTTATGTTTTCTACTTTATACAGCAAGAGGTGGTTCCATCAACAGGAAAAAAGTTTTTCAAGTCGCGTCCTACTCAACCACGTACTTACACCAAACGACGAGAAGATTAAAAAGATATACAAAGAGTTTCAATATAAAAATTGATTTACAATATATTTAGAGAATATGTAAAATTTTCATCAATTTAATTCATCAATTGAATTATTTTTAATAACTTTTATAGGTCGCCACAGCGCCTACTCAAATGTCATTATAATTTAACTAAAACAATGAAATGAGTTAAACAATTTAACTCAAGAAAATTTATTAAATTTAATTCTTTAGTTTACATTTACTAATAAAAAATCCATACGTTAATATGGATATTGTTTATTTTGAAACTAATCATATAAATGGATTGATTTATATTTTCGAAAAGTTAACAATAACAAAATATTATTTAAATTCAAGGGATGAAGCTATCTTTGATATCTAATACTCCTTTGATATCTAATAGTGTATGATATCGAATAGTTGCATTCAAGATAATGTCAAGAATACGGAGTCTCATCATCGCACTCTCAGGAGAAACGCCTACGCACCTTCGACACGGGGCAGATGATATTGTAGCTAGTGGAAGAACGCAGAAAACTTAAATTTAAACGTGATTCATCGGTCCACCATCCGACCAATAAATGATCCCCTTTGAATCGACACACGTAAGATTCAAATTACATAACGTAATGAAATCGCGCAAATCTTACTGTCCTTCTAGAAGATATTGTATTTGTTACTTTCCGTTTCGGATGTTACAGCGTACTTCGCAACTTCTAAAAAACATATCTTTATATTATGTATTAAATTCGTAATATCAAATATTATTGTATGTATTATACCATTATAATCAATTTGAGTTATTTTTAATCATTTTTATAAGTCGCTATTATATTCCTTAATACATCATAATTTAACTGAATCATGGAATTAAACAAATTAACTTAAGAAATGTATTAAATTTGACTCAAATTTGATTTATTGTTTAAATATACTAATAAGTATATACATTAATATAAGCGTTGTTTACTCTCCGAAACTAAACAATTCAACCATATAAATGGATTAATTTACAGTTTAACACACGAAAGTTAAAAACAATAAAATGTTATTTAACTCAAGGGACTGAGTTATCATTGTTCTTTTGATAAAACGTGTATTTTTAATTTTTTCCAATTAATTTATTATAAGATCGTCTTGCAGAAAACAAAAATATTGTGATTTGATATTGTTTGAATTCTCCCAAGCGGAGATTATCTCTCACCTATATTAGTCCATTAGATATTAGCGATGAACTTTTAGAGCCTCGTCCTCGGAATGTCTATAATTTTCCGTATTTTCTCTATCTTGCGTTCGCACGACAGGCGAGTATCTGCCGCAAAATCTGGATCGCGCAATAATAACCCGAGCCATATGACAGAGAACTATTTAAAAGTAGCACGTCCCACTTTCCACGAGGGCGACCGTATTTTTTTTCCTTCTGTGTCAGGACCTCGACACGTTGCCTACGCCCTATACTGGTGAGCTATGTGCTGGAATATGCAATGTAATCAGACTGAGAACAACGCGAACAGTTTTATACGAACAAGTCAGACGATCCTAGATCTGTCTGACATTTCTGTCTCCCAATAAGGATCCATTCAGATCTTTCTGATTCTGACTTAAGTCTGTAATGATATGTAATACGAAGACTCTCCCTTCTTATTTGTTCTTCATTTCTTGATTCAAATTGAAACATTAGAGTATACGCAATCTTGTATATCAAATTAATTTATATAAAAAGATAAAAAAAATTTCAGATAATTACACTGAAAAAAAAAATAAATTTTAATAACTTTGTATAAATTGTTCTAAATAAATATTTACTTATTGATACAAAAACAATTGATTTGATTTAACTATCTTTTTTTTATTAGATAAATATTTATTTACTGTAAATAAATTTTCTATTTAGAACTATTCAATCATTTACTTAGAACTATTCAAAGAAATAAAATTTAGTAATTTTTTTTCAGTGTAATTGCTTTATCAGGCAATTGTTGCAAGATTCAATGAAAAAATCAAAATATTCTCTTGCCGTTGCATTTTTATAGACATTATCGTAATCGAGACCCTTAATAGTTATTTTATTATATTGGCTCGTTTTAATAAAAGGTAGCCAACAAAATAGTGACATATTCATGCGAATGTTGTTTCGGCTATTTACCGGATGTTATAATCATTACTAAGTTGCCCAATTTTCCACAGCAGCTGCGCGTCTCTGCGATTTCGGAAAACCTATTTCTCGTTAACTGAATAAGCCGCTAATATTAGAATACCGAAACGTGTGGAATCACGCACGCTTGCGTCGCTTATACGGGGTGTCGCGTCAATGATGTGGAACATGGGAAAAAAGTATCTCCGATAGTATCTCATTTATCGATTACCAGATCAATGAAGAAGAAAATAGGATATCAAGAAAGCCTTGAAGATACATCCAATTGACATGAATATATTGACGAGGAATCTTTGACTGCGATTTTCCCTGGATAAACATTTTTTTTCGTCGGAACGTTTCTTAGGACACCCCGTATACAACCCTCTTACGTTGTTGGACGGATTTCTCCCCCGACTTGGCCCACGGTGGTTCCGTACTCCTCCGGAACGTATAAAAAGCCACGTCTAGAAGCCGCGGCACTTCAGTCTTTTCAAAATATCATAAGGATGGCTCTAGAACGTCAAGTGCGCGCTAAGGTATATATTAATTTATGTACACATACAATATTTCAATTGTGTGGTGTAATCCGGTCCGATCCGTTTACGGTCACGTGTATCATATAGTGATCTATTCTTCCGAGTTCTTTATTTTCTTACCTTTTAAATAGAAAGAGGCTAATTTCTTAATAATAATTAATAAAACATGTATTTTTTTCGAAAGAGATGTGTTCTTTGAAATGTTCTGGAATACTTGAAGTATCGCGGGATTCTATCAATCCATTGGAGATTCAAGATCTATGAATTTCGATAATACTCCTTTTTTGCTAAACAACAGTATGTTAGAATTTTAAGATTCGCATATAATTTTGCATAGATTGCGGCGAAACGCAACCCCGAACAGGAGAAGGAGGCACAGGAATGGATCGAATCGATCCTTGGTAAGAAGTTTCCTCCTGGTGAGACCTTCGAAGAGGTGCTCAAGGATGGTCAGGTCTTGTGCCATTTGATGAACAAGCTTTCTCCTGGATCCGTACCAAAGATCAACAATACCGGCGGACAGTTCAAGATGATGGAAAACATCAATATGTGAGTAGTGGCTGGCGAGACATTTATATCGATTGTACATTATGTGATTACATTGAATACGTTAAAGGTTCCAAAAGGCGTTAAAGGACTACGGGGTGGATGACGTCGACGTTTTCCAGACCGTAGACTTATGGGAGAAGAAAGATATACCCCAAGTAGTAACGACATTGTTCGCGCTCGGCCGAACAGTATGTTTCCTCTTATCCTTATCATTATTTTTATACAAATTTTACAATAATTTTCTTTGTACAGTAAATAATTTTGACTGATGTAATTATTGTCAGAATCAAAAACATCGATATCTCTGTTCGTTTAGACATACAAACATCCCGAATGGAAAGGACCTTATTTAGGACCTAAGCCATCAGACGAATGCAAACGCGATTTTACGGAGGAACAATTGCGAGCTGGCCAAACAATGATTGGTCTTCAAGCAGGTTCCAACAAGGGTGCGACCCAGGCAGGCCAAAGCATCGGTGCCACTCGCAAAATTCTTCTTGGAAAGTAAATTAAAACGTCGGCACAGTTTGCGAATCCTTTTTTCCAGTCGTTACAGCTATATCTCGTACTTTTTTGTATGTACACATAAATACATATACATATATGTATATTTTATTTTACTTTTGTAATTAAACGATAAACGGCTGCTATTTATTTCCCGTCATTTTCTTAATGATAACAAATGTATCTCATCGTAGCGAATTTTAATCTTTTTATAGTTAATCAGAAGATACAGCTCTGTCAATTGAGCCAATGAGCATATTGATAAATTGATTTTTATGATTATAAGGAAAATACCGTTGTTATTCAATCAATTATTTTATCTTTTTCCGCCTCGAGATTCTAGTCTTTAAAAATGTACAGTGTCAATGACAGGAGTATGCGTTTCAAAACAAGAAAGTTGTTATTTAACCGATTGAGTGCGCGCTTTAAAACAACAAAGTGTTACCTAAAGAATTCCAAATAAAGTTAGTTCTATCCATCCAAAATAATACGAGATTTCTTTTCCCTTCCTACAGGAGCCAATTTTCAAGTCAACTGTATTGGATAATTCCATCCACAATTTCTTTTCTTTCCTTAATTTCAGCGATCGCCATTTAAGGATGCGAAAGCGACGTCGTGTTTCACGCTGGAGACGTCGAAAATAAAACGCGACGCGATGCAAATTGCGTGCAACTTTGCTGAAACTCTGCCAAGTCCGAGCTTAAACGCGAAGCGCGTGGGATCTGTTCTATTGATATCCGAAGATGCGTTGTTTCAATATTACTCGCCTGTAACATTCAGGAGAACGTGTTTCCTGAGTGTTTAGGAGAGTGCAACACGCTCTCATTGACGTGTATCTTTGGATCGAAATGGCGATAATTCGTTATTTACTGTGGCTTGTTTATCGCCAAAGTCGTTCGCGCCACACATAGAGTTCCATCAGATAATCCAATTATAAGCTTTATCAATGAGGATATGGACCTATCCAATAGGCGGTGCTCGATAACGCATCTAGACAGAATTGTTATGAGTATACAATCGAAACTCTTAAATACAAATGTATTTGATCGCAATATATTTATAGAGTGAGTACGTCTACACAAGTTAGTGATATATATAGGGTATATATAATGAAGCGCGCTATAATAAAATAACACTCTCACGCAACACGTGGCAGACAAAAGGTATGTTATTTTCTTTTTTTTTTTATTCTTTCCTTGCATTACGCGAGAACATTGATTGCGTGTAAAGACAATCGCCCCCCTCACGTCGCAAGAAGTCTGTATTATCCGCACGCTCGCGTGCACCGTTTAATTCACTGCAGATACAGATTTCTATTGTTTGCGATTAGAAGACGCACCGTTTCTAAGAGGCGCTATAAGAGCTCGTCAAACATCCTTTCGTACATCCTAAAAAAGAATCTTTAAGGAGGCTAAGATGTATCTCCGGAATTGGGTTCATCCTCGTCATTTGAATTTTGCCGTTTCGATTTCTCCTTCGTTCGAAACGTTATAAACGGTAGCGAGAGGGGGGAGGGAAGGGGAGAGGAAGGGATCGAGATGCAAATTGTGAACGCGATGCTGTGGTGGTACCGGTCGACAATTCCGCGAGACGAATGGAGCGTGGATGTGGATCGTGCCAGGGTTACGATAGCTTAGAATGCGAGAGTCGATGGGAATACTTCATCGACCTCGACCCCTCGCTCAGACACATCTGTAATATCGTCCACCGATTAGGACTCGATGTTAATTTGGTGTCATTATGGTTAACAGTTTTCTTTCTCTCTCCTATTTTTCCCTCTCTTTTCCCTTTGAGATAGAGAGCAGAATTAGCTTGGCGGAGAGACGCGAGCGTGCAAGAAATCAAACTCTCCATTCCGCGGCGAAGGAAGGAGGGGGAAATTAGAAGGCGAGAAGCTGTGCTCTTTTATGTCTTTCTTTGTAAAGAAATGCGAGGGAGGTGGATGTACAATGTGCGATCGTTTATATCTAACCAAAATAGAGATATTTAATTTATGACGTTTAAGAGACGAGATTTGCCATATTTAAATGTAAAATATTTTTGAATTTATTGTATCATATAATTATTTGTGATGTAACAAGATTCCATTCAATTATTATATCGCTCCGATACGAGAAGAAAGAAAAACATATACTTTCATGCCTCATTATATCTCGTTATTTCAAGATAAAATATTAGTATCAGTATCACGAATTATCAACAGCGGACAAATTTAGAAACGCGTAACGATAATTAAATTCATAAAAAATTTTCTGTTTGATAATCTACAAATTTCGAGAGATTTCCGAGAAAATTTGAAAATTCGTATTGAGTGATAAAGAAAAGAAGTTCAAAGTCCAGTACGTGCTTTTCTGATTTCTTTGATAAACTCCATGCCAATTTCGTACGGCGTCCCAGAAAATCAAAGAACGTAAATGTATTTAATTATTTCTTAATTATCTCCGGTATCTTGCGCATTCTTTTATACCGGCAGCGATTGTGCTTGGAGTAACCGTTTCCGGTACGGCTCTCGAATCGTTAATAACGCGCAATCTACGTTTCGAGCTGAAACCACAACCTATTCTATTGCCACTCGTAACAAACTGTTCTTATGTTACACCGGTAACCCACACTTGACGTTCAACGATCAAGTGCGCGAAAGATTACGATCGCGCGATCAAAATCTCCGCCCGCGATATAGAAACGTTGGCGTAAAGAAATGTATCGCGATGACAGCCGTGCGAAATATCTTTCATTTTCATCGAAATATCCCCATATTCGCTCTCTTTCTCTCTTTGGCTCTTCTTTTCTTTTTTTTTCCTCGGTGTGGAATGACGACGAGGATTGCGAACCGGTTCGCATCTATTTGGCTACTTTCTCGGCTCGCGTCGCGGCATGCCGCCCGCACTATATATGCGGAAACAATTTGATACACGTTAGTTCATGTAGTAATACACGGTCGTGATACAATCACAATAGTAATATATTAATATTGCGTTAAAAGAATGAAAAAAAGAAAGGAAGAAAGAGTATATAAAATTAGTATCAGAACAATGATAATAAACCTTCATAGAACGACGGCAATAATATTCTGCCAGGATGAAGTGATTGAAGTGTAGGCTTTAAAAGAAACCAGTAGGCGACTTTTGAGACATCCTGTACGTCAGCACGCGATTGCGAGTTCACCACGTCTCTCCCACTCGCGATACTATTGCCTGTCGTCGTCTTTCTCCCTCCGATCGCTCAACCGATCTCGCTGTTTTCTCGCTTTGTCTCCTCTCGCTCTCTTAACGCGCCGTCCACGTCACCGCCCTTCCACAAGCTACGATGCTTTCATTTTTATCGGTGACGAGCGAGGCTAGCGTCGATCATGGATCTGTAGTATAAATCAAAGCGTCAACGAGAGTTCGGTATGAATAAGCGAGGACAATTAAACCTATTTTTCCATACAGTAGTCTCCTCGACATCTCTTTATAAACCTTGATTTCTGACAATGCTTGCATACGCTTAGATGTGGAACCTTGAGGCGTCGATTTGAAATACGAAGGACGCATAATATTATTGTTTAGCATCTTTCAGTAGCCTTCGGAAAAACGCCTGACACTTGGCGTAGTCTTGGCACTCGTAGTTCTCCCATGCACGTTACGCTCTTGTCGAGACGGCGCGAGATCCTAAAGTAAATTTGAAATTGTAGCCAACTGGTCGAAAGAAAAGAAATAAAATAGGTGCCCCAGAAGAGGTAAATAATTCTTCATATTATTCCCTGAAATTATAGAAAAGTAGGACATGTAAATATTTTCATTCGTCGTTTTTTTTTTATCTAAACTAAATTTAAATAATTTATTTAAATTTGTCATCTATAAGCGCACAATAGAGTTCGAAGTAACTCGTACGGAAGTTGTAGTAATTTAAAAATAAAGAATAATTTACAGATCATGCAAGACTTACTAAAGATAGATCGAAGTATTTGTATCAACTAAAGCAGTATCGTCTGAAAATCTAATAAAAAATATCAATAACTAGTACTAATAACATATATCGATTAAAATCTAAAACTGCTCTTTCATTTAATTCTGGTAACTAATAAAATCAACGAGACGAAAAGTTGAAAAAGATCTAGAGGAAGCTTCAAATTCTAAGAAAATCCGCAGAAAATTCTCGGCGCGAATACTCCATTCTCTTAAAAAGAAAAGAAAAGAAAAGGAAGAGACAAAAAAGAGCTCGCGAGATTTCGGCGATTTGACAAGACCGGAGCAGAAGTGATCTAACCTGTCGCGCGCGCGTCCCCTAACCTCTTCGCTACACGGCGTGACGGGACGGCACATCCGCTCGGATAGGGAAACTCGGCGCGATTATGCCCGCATAACGTGAACGGGCCGGTCTACGTACGACGTTGTTTGTCTGTCGACGGACGCGTGGATCAGTGGAGGCAGGCGCGGCACGACGCGAGTCGGCGACGGTGATCGCGCGTAAAAATGAAATGGGGCATTGGGTGAAAGTACTCGCGGCAGCGGCGGCGACGGCAGCGGCAACCGCGAGCGAGCGTGCGAGCGAGCCTGCCTCTTATATCAGATCAGTACGGTAGGCGCGCCTCGTCACAACACGCGTCTATCTCGCGTCGTTCCTCTTCACCAGCGGGCTCTCCTGATGACCTCTCCGTCGACCGTCTTATCACGGGAATCCTGTTCCGCTTCGCGCCCCCGGACTATGCTGCCGACCTGGTAGCCTCGTCATTATCCTACTCACTGACTGAGAGCAGCTTTATTACCTTTCTACAGAATGCTGCGCAACCTGTGGTCCCTTTGTCTTCTCTTATCGCTGGTCACTCTAGCTCCAGCATTGGAGAATGGACTGGCCAGAACACCTCCGATGGGATGGTTAGCTTGGGAAAGATTCAGGTGCAACACAGATTGCAAGAATGATCCAGACAATTGTATAAGGTGAGCTTCAGCAGTGACAATATATGGATAGAATACTTGGTGTAAGCGCAAAAGAAGTCATAGTGGTTGGTCTCCTTTGATTCACAGTGACCGTCTCTTCCGGACCATGACAGACATTGTGGTAGCAGAAGGGTATGCTGCAGTAGGATATGAATATATTAATGTGGACGACTGTTGGTTGGAGAAAGAAAGGGATTTAAATGGACAACTTGTACCAGATAGAGAGAGATTCCCATATGGCATGAAGAGTCTGTCAGATTATGTAATTCACTGTCTATTACTCTTTCAATGTTTATCAGTTGCACAAATTCATTATTCTGCACTTGGCTCACTTCCCAGGCTTATAATGCTCTTTTGTGACTGTGCGTGATGCTTCATGAAAGGCATTGCTTTGTTTGTCAGGTGCATTCAAAGGGTCTCAAGTTTGGTATCTATGAGGACTATGGTAACTACACTTGCGCTGGATATCCAGGTATATTGGGTTACTTGGATATAGATGCTGCCACATTCGCTTCCTGGGATGTGGATTATGTAAAGTTAGACGGATGTTACTCGCATCCTGTTGATATGGACAGAGGTATAGTTATATCTTATAAATAATCAGTGTGTAAGTTCTCTCTTAATTAAATAAATCAATATTAAAAGAATATGATATTTATTGAAGGCTATCCCGAGTTTGGGTATCTCCTGAATCAGACTGGAAAACACATGATATATTCATGCAGTTGGCCTGTTTATCAAATCTATGCCGGTATGAAGGTAAACATCTCAATGCATTTTCTCCAATTTATTTCTTCTAGAGGCAGTCATTGACGTTAATCTAATTTTCAGCCGAATTACACCTCGATTGCAGAAAACTGCAATCTCTGGCGCAACTTCGATGACATTCAGGACTCGTGGGCCAGTGTAGAGAGTATCATCGATTACTACGGTAACAATCAAGACGCGATTGTGTCCAACGCCGGTCCTGGACATTGGAATGATCCGGACATGTTGATTATCGGCAACTTTGGTTTGAGCTACGAACAGAGCAAAACGCAAATGGCGATCTGGGCTATACTAGCGGCACCGTTGCTCATGTCTGTTGATCTCAGGACGATTAGGCCAGAGTACAAAGCCATCCTGCAAAACAAAAAGATTATCGCCGTAGATCAAGATCCACTGGGCATTCAAGGTCGACGGATATACAAAGTGAGTGATTTAAAAGTTAAATGTGTCAGTGCCTTGAATATATTGGTGTGATCGATTAATATTGTCACGAGTTAAAATTCGAGATTAACAAATCATATAATCCAGTTATATTAGTGGCAGTTTCGGCTGAACTCATCGGAATGTGTCTCACACAGTGTGATTCATTGATAACTTACAATTGCAGCACAAGGGCATTGAGATTTGGGCAAGGCCCATCACCCCAGTTTACCAAAACTACTACTCGTACGCGATCGCGTTCGTCAATAGACGAACGGACGGCACGCCGTCGGATGTGTCGGTCACGCTGAAGGAGTTGGGTCTACAGTATCCTGCAGGATATCGAGTGGAGGTTCGTAGCGTTACGTGTAACAGTTTGATCGGCAAAAATGTTTAGGAAAAAAAATTCGAAAGTATCGTTGTTCTTTTCAGGATTTGTACGAGGACGTGGATTATCACGTGCTGACGCCACAGACCAAGATCAAGGTCAAAGTGAACCCGTCGGGCGTAGTGATATTACGATGTAATCTGAATATAGATGACGTGTTTCGCTACTCGCCGTATTCGTCCTTGAATCAAGTCTTTAAAGTTAGGCAAAATTCATTTGAATGATGGTACGGTTAACGTATTATTTTAATTTCTATTGGCGTTTTTATACGAGCGCACGTGCGAGCGCATTACGCGTTCTACATTAACATAATATATAATATAAGAATAGAAAATAAAGAATTTTATAAACTTTATTCTTCTTCTTTTTCAAGTGCCATACGCTCACAGCGTGTAGGCGCCCCCCTCTCATATACCTGTGCGCGCACACTGATCGTCACACAAGGTATATGGAGACCTACAGTTTAAACGCCGATTCCGAGCGGCAACTTTTGATAGGGAGGTTTCCTGGGCAAGTATACTACTCGGTGGTTTGCCATTGCCTTCCGAGAGGAGCTACCAGCGTACGAAAATTTTTCGATTCTGCCGGGGATCGATCCGGGATCCCTAGTATAGCAGAGCAGTGCGCTATCTGCTACATCAAGCTCGCGCTCTTTATTCACTCGTGTTATTTAAGATGATATTCCGTATTCGTATTTATGCATTATTTTCATATCATATCTATGTATATGGCGTTACTTTAAATTCACCCTTGACTTTATGCAATCCGCATTAGATAACTTATATGTATATACATATAGTTTGCTAGATTTGGTGACCGAGCTGATACTTCCTGTCGAATTAAAGCTTTATTTGTAAAAATGTAACTTATAAAAACAATTAATATTGCATTTATATGTTAAAGAGATAAGTCGCTTCAATTTTTGACAAGAAGTAATGAGATGTAACAGATGCATCTCGCCACACGTGCAAAAGCGCCAAACATATCTCTTTATATTTGTCGCATCCAACTCCCTTTGACGTCTGTAACGCGTCACGAGGAGAGGGAGAGGGAGAGAGAGAGAGAGAAAGAGAGAGATGAGCACGGATACTACAAATGTGCAATCGCGGAGACGTTCTCTATTATAAGTTCGCTATAGATACCGCAAGCCACACGTTTCTCGCGCATCTACCTACGCTCACCCATCCACCCGCAGTTGGCAGGAGAAACGTATCTCATTACACCCACTCTCTCTTCCGCCCTTTCCTCCCTCTTACACTGGTAATGCGTCACAGCGACGCCCGCGTCGCGTCGCGTCGCGTCGCGTTGCCTCGCGCGTGCTCCCTTCAACCCCCAGCGGAACCGCAGCCATTGTCGGAGGGTCGGTCGGTCGGCTCGATTCTTCGCGAAACGTGCGTCCATGGTGCGCGCGTAACACACCCTTCTATCGCGCGAACACCCTGTGTGAAAACCGAGCGAGCGCGAACGTGCGAGCGAATTAAAAGGAGGAGAAAGAGAAGAAAAAAAAATAGGTGAAATTTAACGACGCGAGGGGATGTGAGAGGAATCCGTTCGTCGGCGCGATGAGACGCGAACATTCGCGCGACGCCGATTTCGCGCGAGCAGCACCATCACCAGCACCAGTACCAGCCGACGCTGCTACCGCTGCCGACCCCGACCCCGCCGCCGACGCTGCCACCGCGCTGCTGCACCCTCTTGCCGCCACAGCAGCGTATCTCACCGCGAGCATGAAGATTCCGCCTCTCTCATGACCCAGGTGAGTCTTTAAAGAAACATCATCTTTAACTGTAGAATCGTTTAGATGTGCGTAGTGTCAATCCACGTCCTCATCGTCGATGTACCCGCGAAGTGATGGTCTCGCGCGATCAGCGATATGGCGGCCGTTGCCGGCCCGAACAAATTTGCGTAGGCAGTCTCTCGCGAAGAAATTGATTTTGCCTATTTATGAGGATTCGCGATCATTCTGCGCGATAAGATTGATGCGGTCTTATCAATATCAAGCATAAAGTGGTAATGGTCGATAACTTGCGCTTGACGTTGGTTGCTCCAATCGCGGTGGATTCTGATTCATTTCCATTCGAGTTCTCCGAACTTTTAGATTCCTTATAGGTATTCGAGATCCTCGAACTCGCTTGATTTGTATATTAGCGATTTTCAAATCGGCAAGGTAGCGCGAAATGATTCTCAGTCATTGACGTAGAGGCAACCCGCATGAATGAATAATGGCGCCACATCGAATCGTTTTGAACGGTGACGCGTTTGGTGCTGTATTACAGACGGAGTTGCTAGTCCACGGTTGTTCGCATCGATTACACACAATCGCGAAATTCTATATGCAATTGTTTTTCTTATCTTAGCGAATCTTATAGAATTTCTGGAACAGAAATCGACGATTGTTACATAAAGTTTTGATATAAAATTATGAAAAAATGAACACTCGAAGATTTGACAACAATATACATTCAATTATTAGCTTCAATTAGTACATGTGATTAAGCCCCGAATAAATTTGTTTAAGATTTTTTACAGAATAAGATAGTTTAAATGCATGAATTATATAATTTTTATTATATAATTTGTTGTATTTTTTTTGCACGCAACATATATTTTTGACGAATTTTCATGTAACTATCTTGCTCTCACAATTAATTCTACCACTGGTTTATCTGACATTACGAAACATAATGTCTTCTTTACTCTCTCTCGCCATTGTGTTCTCATTGAAATAACTCTGATCTAATCTCATTATACACGTATTAGATACGTGAGATAACGATGCTGCGCCTCACACGCTTAATTAGCACATAACTGGAATTGAAACTAAAAGGAGATGAATACGCATAGATGACGTGGTGATTCCAAGTGTCACTGTACAAATCGGTAGAGGCACTCTCTATTTATCATATTTCGTATGTAGGGCGGCGCAGATAAATCGATACGCGGCACTTTCATTCATGGCTGCCTCTCTCACGGTTGGCACATTGCCGTTGCTCTACGTACCACCCACGCCGTCGAGACCAACACATTTACGATCCAACCGTTACGTAGTGTATAGTCAACGGTGGTGGCACAGTGGTTCTCCGTCTCGTCAGGGGGTGGCGAATGTTCATCGTGTACATCTCACGTTGCGGAAATCTCGATGTTCATAGTATTAAATGTACATCGACTGATAGATCGCTTTATCCAAATTAAACATCCAGGCAGCAAAAATCTGTAATTTGGAAAAAAGAAGACTAATGGTTAGGTTCGAAATAGTTCTTGTTTTTTTTTTTTTTAATTAAGCAGTGAAAAATCTAATTAAATAAATCTATAATCCACGCTCGATGCGATCGGCCCTTAGTCCTTGAACAGGCGACGTTTCGTGACGTAAGCAGTCGCGTGGGATGCATTTCACATTCTATTTATAAGTCGTTGTCATTAGTAGCATGTGGACGTGTCTCTCTCTCTCTCTCTCTTTTCTCAGGCACCGGCGCATAATAGCCTGACGATACTTTAATCGTTGAAATTGAATGGAAAATGAGAAGTAGTATAGACGTAGATTACATTTTGCACGTAACTTCTCCGTTTGAAGAATTTTACGTTCTCTGAAATCTAAAAGTGTGCAAACAGAAGCGTTCCAAGCTTGATGCATCAAAGACCTCGAGGAAGTTGGTGCTTCCGGGTATCTCTTGGGAATGAGCTCCCATAGAATTCTTTACGAGTTAATAATTGCATCTCGTGTATCACCACTGCACCGCCGCATCCTTCGGAAGTGAGCAACAGCGCGCACGTCGATATTACGTCGACGTACGTCCATCCGTTCGCTCGACCGTTCATTTGCGTTGAGTGACGACGGTTGATATTAGTTGTCGCACATGAGGCATCTGGTGGCATTCTTAAATTAGTTAAACTAGTGCATCGAGAGAGACTAACCCAGTTATACGAAAGGGGGATATCGAATAAATTCACCGCGCAGCCGCGTATCGGAAGCCTGCGAACTTCGACGCACACATGTACCCGGCCCTTTCGTCGCTCGCTTGCACGCGACAGAGCACAGAGACGAAGGGAACCGCGACGTGCAAGGGAGGGAGTCGCAGGAGAATGGAGGCGGGGAAGGGTGCGCTGCTCTTTGAAGTCGGTCCACCTGCCTCCGACGACGTTCGCCACAGAACACAATGCGGGGGTGGTGGTGGCGCGTGTGGAGAACAGCCCTTGCACCAGGCGGATTTTCCGCTCGGTAACGCTTGCCAAAGGATCTATTTAAAGGATCGGTTCGGTCGTCTGTCTTCGGTCGCGGACTTTTGACTTCCGAGCCCTCTTTGAAACGTCGCAGATCGGTGTTCCAGTGTTGTTGGTCATCGAATTCGTCTCACGAAAATTCCGTGTCGTTCTAATTTTCAAACGTGTTCTCCATGGAAAGGAGCGTCGTCGATCTTATGATGTTCCTGGATGTCTGCCAGCTCTATCTGCACACCAGAAAGAAATCCCGGAATCTCTGTACGCTCTGGGCGATCGTGACGTTCATTCGCACGGAGGACACCGGCGGCTTTTTGCGATGGTGTCAAGCGTATACGGTACCACGTTTACGGTATCGCTCGGATCGCACCAAGAAAACGGAGAATGCAGAGAAGTTGAGAGCCGACAAGCTGATACTCAGATTGCTGCAAGAGCTATTCTATTGCGGATGCTTGCCGCCCTGTGAGATAGGTCTATGAGCAAAGATGCGACGTGCTTGTTCACGTATTACTGTGTTAAGTAAACGTGCGTAAGGCAACGCAAAAGTCCCACGCGCTATTTTGGCAATTCTGTCGCAGCAAGATGCAGCCCTACAAATCAACAAAATAACTTGTTAACCTTTTGATCCGCAGTTTATAATTGAAGAATAAATCTTTAGTGTAAATATCTTGGTATTCTGTTAGATATCTGCCATACAGTTAAATGTTTTTCTTTATCTTTGAGTGCTTTCAATCTTGGAACCTGAACTTTTCGATTGTTCGATTTAGAGAGATAAATATTTCTGTGCAGCATCGTAAGCGCACATGTGGACGAAGATAAATCACTTTAGCGAGAGGGATGTCTGAGAGCGACGGAGAGCATGCAGCTCGCTCGGTGGCCTTAGAGCAAGCCTACGTCCACGAAGTATACGAGCAATGCGCTGAGAAGACTACGCAAAGTAAACACTGGCCACGAGTATATCAGTTTCTTCAAGAACTCGAACCGGGTGCTCTCGTCTGTGACATCGGTCAGTCAAAAAGTATACTTTACATAAAACGTTTCTTTCTTTTTCTTTTCAAATAGCTTTCATTGATTGTGTTGCAAACGTTTATCGATACGTAATTCTGATCAAGTATTCATAGTGGATTACATAATTAAGAGTTTGCGTTCCGCATGCTTTAATTTTACAACATTATACTTATATTTCTTCGTCCGTGTAACATCGTTATATCTGCATCATCTAGGTTGCGGCAACGGAAAATATCTCAGCGTAAATCACAGTGTCTTCAAAATAGGGGTGGACAGATGCAAGCGTTTCACGGACATCGCGCGCGAGAAGGAAAACGAGGTGCGTGTTTATATTAATTATATATAAAGTAAAGACCCTTATTTTTAACAGTAAGTCGTGAGTCACTGTCGATTACATATCTGAGACCCATACGTATTATGGCTTACTTTTTATGTGATATAGCGTTGTTAAGTGCGTTTTCCTTTCTACGTCTAACTGACATCGTTGAGACATTTTAAGATTGGATGATAGTAAAAAAAGAGTGAGATGAGATCTCCGCCAATTTTAAATATGGACCGTATGTTGTTGATGTAGCTGATTTCGATACTGGACGTTATAATTTTAAATCTTCTGACAACTTTATATTTTGTTTATTTTGCATTGAAAATGACCCGATCGGGGTCGAAACGTTTGCATGTACATGTATGTAAGAAGTTTTATTAAAGATTCTTTGTTATAACTGGCTCATAGCCCATTCTTTTCACTTTTGATTTATTCTGATTGAGCCATATAGATAATTTATTTTAATTTTTAAACTAATTCTATATTCTATGTTATTCTATATTGTTCTACACTTTGTAGAAATTACTATTAAAACCTAATTTCTAATTAACGCATGTGAATAATTTACTGTTAAATATTTTACTCACGAAAACTTGTTTATGTGCGGTAAGGTTCTAATCTGCGATAATTTGGCTCTACCATTCCGAGAAGAAAGCTTCGATGCAGTGCTGTCGATTGCCGTGGTGCACCATTTCGCTACCACGGAGAGGAGGGTACATGCGTTGAAGGAGTTGGCGCGAGTCCTTAGAATTGGGGGTCGACTCGTTATATCCGTCTGGGCTATGGAACAAAAGCATAGAAAAGTAAATAAAGATCTCTCCTCTCTAAATTTTTTAATCTCTCTTAATTTCTTCTTTTATTGGTATCTCAAACATCTGGATTACGAATTATATCGTTGTTATATATATTGGCAGTTTGAATCGCAAGATGTTTTAATACCATGGCCCAAATCGCATTGTATGAGCACAGCGTCAGAGGGGACGAAGCATTCAGGTGTATCAGACAGTAACGAAAAGCGAGATGATGATGCTGCGCAGAAATATCAGTCATTCTCCAAGAGGTGAGTTTTTGATAAATTATCTCACTGATGCGATGTTGAGATCGATCATAACATGTTTAGTCCTGCCATAGCACAATTTCTGTATTTCCTGTAAATATCGTATCGTATGTAGGTCATAGCTGTCATGATTTCTTGTTCCAGAAATAGCCAACGAAAATGTAAAAGCAAGAGTTATTGGATCGATCCGATATTCAGCTTGTCACCATCCACCAGTAGCCTCTCTAGCCCGAATGAGACCTGTTATAGCTGTTTCCGGCGAGCGTTACAGGTAACTAGATAAGTGAGCGAATAAGAAAGAGAGAGAAAGAGAGTGATTATCTACAAATGCGATATTTTAAAACTTGAGCATCTGAAAAGTCACACTGAAAATATTTTCAATATTTAAAGATGTTCCCTATTGTTGTTATCTCCTTTCGTAATATTAATTATCACAAAGATCATTTAGATTTTAGTTGAATGTGAATTAAATTTTTCCTATTTAATCTTTTTAAAATTGTATTTATGATGTGTTATTTAATTACCCTATTATTATTCATGATATTAGCAAGATTGTACGATTATTTTCAGAAATTAGCGAGGAGCAAACGCGGAGGTGACGGTCGTGCATGGTTTCCTGGAAGTTGGCAGAGCAGTACCAAGAGCAAGCGGCATTATGACCCCGAGGACACGACTGATGTGGACGAGCTGCCGATCGAGCTACGCCGCGTAGAGACCACACATACGCTAACGATGACGAACAAGCATTCCACGGACACGCTGAGCATCAAATCCAAAAGCTTGGGTGATATCTTAGAAATTGAGAGACTCGATTTGGTGCGTTCACGGTCCAGCATCCCGGGTTTCTATTCGACGTCCGAGCTGATCTTGGATGAGCGATCGGTCTCGTCATCGTCAAGCGGCTCAAAGCCACGGCTGGTGAAGCAGAAGTCATACGTAGAGGAGATTGGTTTGGAGAATCCCGAAGACACTGCCATTGAAAACCTGATAAAAGACCTCCCGGACTTCTCCTGCCAGTCGTTACGCAAGCGTAATATACCGTTAAAGCAGAGCTCGATGAATGAAGAATTGATGTCGGCGGAACGGCTGGAGGAGAAAGAACGAGTGCGACGAAACATCATGAAACAAGCGTCGCTGAACGAGGAGCTCATCTGCAAGTGGCGAACATTCGAGGCGCTCAAAGATTCGATCAGCCCGGTGAGCGCCAGTCGGCGCTTCCAACTGTTAAAGAATGGACTCACTAATAAACTCAAGCGTTCCACAACGAACATCGAGAAGGTCTCCAGCATGTCCATCAAGAATGGTTTCGTTCGTATGCTGCAAGGATGGAAATCCTGTGAGAACGAATCGACGTCGGCGGAAGCGACGAAGCAGAAGCCAACGGACAATAAAGTACAACCGGTAACAATGGTGAAACGTAGCATCGAGGGTGTCGAACGTCGTCTCTCACGCGAAGACGGCTCGGACTCGTCCAAGGACAGCAGTTTGCAGAGCGATACCAGCGTAGATTCCGAAGACAGCTTCGCATCTGTGATTTACGTACCGAAGCAGGACGTCACAACATCGCCGGCATCGTCTACGATCAATGAGGTTCCTTCCGCACCGCGACCGGCGGCATTACAGCTTAGCACGACGTCGGCACCACCGTCGCCGCGTGTCAAGCAGCCGCTGGACGGTGGTCAATCATCTAGATTCAAAATGATCAGCGTGTCACCATTGCTGAAACAACAATCGACTGTTACGAATACAAATACAAATACGAATACGAATCTCGGTGATGCGATGAAATCTAGTGTGCCGACCGTTGTAGCCAAGGAAACGTTCGATAATACTTTACAGGCACCGGCGTCAGAAGAATTCCGTCTTATATCGGAACCGGATGAAGAGTCGGACACTAAGTCTTTGATACATGCCTTTAACGATGTCACTAAGGTAGTCAGTCGCGAGCCAGTCGTGAGCGAAGACGACAGCCGAAAGGCTAGACTGAATCAGATCAAGGAGCTACTGATAGCGAAGCCGGGCTTTGCGACACGCGCTAGACCGTCGTTTCCATTGGTCAGACGTGCCTCTACGGCGGCTTCAGGTCGTCTAGAGACAGTCACGAGAATCTTACCACGTCTGTTATCTCTAGAATTGTTCAATCCGGAGACTGATGACTTGGATAGCGATTCCAGTGGCGTCTCGTCGCCGGAGTCAGTCGGCTCAGTGATCAGCGTCACATCGGATGAGCGATACATCGCGAGGAAGGAGGCTGAAGAAAAGAAAAACAACATACAGACAGATGACAGTCTTTCCAAATCAAATGGAGACGATATATCAAAGAGGACGAGGGAAACGGAAAGTAGTATACGTGACGATGAGTCGTTGAGTATGATAACAACAACGTCATTCGAGGATTCGAATACACCTCTGGATCCTCCGCCCGACGACTCGTCCGCGGATCTTGAAGACGATACGTTCCTTGCAGAAACCGAGATAATGCGCGACATTTCTCAAGATAATTTAGAGACTGACACGATCTGTTCCACGTCGCGTATTTTTTTGGAAAATGAAAAATCCATCTCCTCGCAGTCTATGAAGCTTTTGAAGGCCGCTGCCAATGTGGCGAGTTCACTGGAGGACGCTGTGGAGAAGGCAATTCAACACAATGTCCAAGTAGAACAATTCTCCCAAATTGCACAACGGCGGAATAACGACAGCATTTGGTCGCAATCGAGTGTGCGAACGCGAGCGTATTTGAAGGAAGATTGTAAATCCACTTCAGAAGATTTGGGCGATTACGCTGATGAATCAAGCAGCGATCTTATACGAGATATTAGTCGGTACTGCCAGAACTCGTCGTTCGATTTTCTCGAGGTTTGCCAGACGTCGAGAACTACGTCGTCGTCGTCGTCGTCGGATATCGCGAAAAATAATTTGAATGCGGAATCGGATACTACGGCCTGTTGGAACGAATGCAATCAAGTACCTAAGGAGACTTCGTGGATTGTAAACGAAGTGTACGACGGAGGTGGATACAACAAGTTCGCTAATGTGGTCCAATCTAAACTGACACCCAAATCCTCTAGATCTCTCTGTGACGATGCCGTTTTCGAATCCGAATTCGACCATAAATTTCCATGCAACTCCAAGTACGAAGTTGAACTCGAAGCCGAATCCAAAACTACATTCATATCCAAATGCGACGAAACGTTTAGGATTAATCAAGAATCTGAAGAGAAATTAAAAACTGCAATCGATCTTGTATCCAGATCCAATCCCAAATCCAATAGTAATCTTATAAGTGATACAAAAAAATCGTTTATCAATGCTGAAAGCACGCTCAATCTCCAATCTGGAGCAGGACTTAAATCCAACGTTAATCAAGAGCATTATCGCTCCGCCAACACTTCGTCGTTGTTGCGCAGCAACTCGGACGACACGCTGGACTTTGTGATGGTGTCGAAAACGGGTGAGTTCGAAGAGGACGCGAAGGCGGTCGGGAAATGGCGTTCCTCCCACAGTAGGTTATCAATGGACTCGAGCGACGTAGGTGACTCTCTGATAGAGAATACAGGGACGAGGAGCTTGAGCGATGGCAGCCAAGCGGAATCAACAGCGAGACTGTTTACCGGCAGCACGGTGTCATTGGTATCAAATCCAAATGTGGAGAATACCCGTCGGTGCTCGGTGGAGCGACGAAGATTGCAAGAACGCGGCCATTCGTTGGATGAGATGTCGAGCGAGACGAAAAAACGAAAGGGCTGTCTAGTCACCGCGAGCACTAACACCCTAAGTAACGCCTCGTCCCAGGAATCGTTGCCCTCCGATCGCGGCGGCGGTTCCATTACCTATCACCAATATTATCATGTCTTTCGGGAAGGCGAACTGGATCAGCTGATCAATAAGTACGTCGAGAACCTGCATATCATTTCATCGTATTATGACCATGCCAGCTGGTGCGTCGTTGCGGAGAAAGTGCAGGTCTGGACTATATGACTTCGGATACGGATCATCGTGTGAAGGACCAGCGACTGTCGCGACTCGTTCTCGGCCGTCTTTGCCAAGTTGTACCGGGTGTCTCGATAGGAGATGTCAGCCAGAAGGGATCAACTAGGTTCAACTTTATGAAAATTCGCATCTGCTTAGTTTTACTTTTCAGTCGAAAATAGTTCCCGGTTTACTAATTCAAGAAAATGAATCACAAATCTAAGAAACTAGGAATATATAATTCCTAAATCCTTTAATTTTTAATGTTTAACACGGTTCGCACTATATTTAGAATTTGGATTACGAAATGACGTGTTGGAAAGAACTCTTACCTTCGAGATAAAAATACTGATCCCTTTTTTGGGGGACACACAGTATACTCCGGTGGATGGATTAAATGCGGTTAAATACGAGAAATCTCGGCTCGAGTACGAGACTTACGACTCTAAATACGTAGATCTAAGAGTCCAAGGATCTCAAAATTCAGGGGTCCAAGAATCCAAGGATTTAAAGGCTCAAGGATTTCATAATAATGTTAACGAGTTTAATCACAAGTTGACTTTCTAACGATCCGTTCTCAAAAATTCTGCGACGACCTATATCACTATTGAAATATCGCTTTGCGCTCATTGAATATTCCTTTCATGTTTATCTCATAAGATTTTTCTGTCCGTTATGTCACTGAAGTGATGTGGTGCAAGAGTATAACTTAAAGACAAAAGAGATTAATGACATAAATGATAAAGATTAATGTCATAAACGATTTAATTGAATTTATATGTCATGAAATCTCCAACAACAAAATGAGGAACATTAAAAAAATAGTTATAAATATTTCTTTCAATTTTGGTTTCTATTAATTGTTGCAATAATTTTTGTTTTCCACGTTCACAATTCGTTTGATTTTAGCTTCACTTCAGGGACGTTTAGGACTATTCATTTCATTTATCAGACTCGCATATCTCGGAACAACGATTGCAGAAAGCATGATTCTTCGAGAACACATCAAAGTAAAAGAGGGCGAAAGGTATTTGCTCGAAGGGTGTTGATTTTCTCGAAGAGTGATGCGATCTGAATGTACATGCATTAAGCATAAAAGTTCAGAAAAATTCAGAAACGGCAATTGGCTCCGGCTGTGGAGCGTATTTTCTAGCTTCTTGAGGAACCGACAATATCCGAACGCTTGAACGTAGATATACCTCAATAATACGAACGTTCCACTTCCAGAAATGTATACATGCATACTAAACATGCATACGTTTACACACGTGTTTGCGTATATACATGTACTAGCGTATTCCTTACTTGTAGAAAATTCTGGCGAGAATTTGCATCGGCAAATTAAACTGTCGTTATCAAAATTGGCAACAAAGATTAGATCAATGAGAGAACGATAATATTTCGAATTTTGGTAATTTAAACAGAAAATATTATAAATAAGCTTGCAATGATTGGACATAAGCAAGTAAGGGATATTCTAATACACATGCCTATCTACATACATACATACATACACATATACACATACAACAAACACATGCGGCATACGTACGTACATACGTGTGATACATATATATTAGGATATAAGGATTCAAAGATCCAATGATCTAAAGATTGAATGCTTATATCCTTGGATTCTTCGCCCTAAGTTCTTCGATTCCCCAGACCGTTCAGCTTTTACGTTAAGAAATATTTTTATTATCAATTTTCTTCATTCCGTGAGTGCTCACCTTTTTGAAAATTCTCAATTTTCCCACGATCGTACTTAATAGTCCTCAAATCGCTGAACATTTTAATCCGTGCAGTCTTTAGATCCTTTTAAGTAATCCTTTTAATCCTGAAATCCAACGGAAGATATTCCTAGCGCGTTGTTATATTTGACAATTTTTAAATTCATACAGTATAAGGCATTCGGCGACTGAAGATCCAAGGATCCAAGCATCCGTTTACGTTACCGTATACTCACACGTCGCATAGAGCAGGGCATAAATGTAATCTAAGCTTCGTTATTTTTATCATCTCAATTATCGTAGTCGAGAACGAAGTTTTTATCATGACCCCTTTAACCGGTGAACCAGACGCAGTCCCTTTGCGCCAAAAACAGATACCTGCAATGAAATTGCTGATAAATTTCACGATATATCATAGGATAAATTGTATTGTATCTCGAGAGTGATACTCGCAACGGATCGCTGAAATTAACGCAATATTAAATTAAGAACTTTTTAAGGATAGAGTGCGCGTGCACGCGAAAGATTTGTCCTTTATCTATAGTTTTCGGCGCATAATATGCAGTAGAATACACTAAAGAAAATAAAAAAGAAAGAGACTATGTGATGAATAAGAGCGAGCTTAGGATTACTGGTTAAAGGGTGATTTGACCGAGAGCAACAAGCTGCTGTTCCGTTTCCGGAGAACCGTTTGGTTATCCAGACGCATTTAACAGGTAGTCAACGATGTTCTTTTCTAATTTATGGGATGATTTTCATTCGTACCCGTTTCAAAGAAGGAAATGCGTATCACACACAAGAAGCGTGCATGTGTGTATGTATGCGTGAGAGAAAGATAGAGCGCTCGAGAGAAAGGGTAGACCAAAGATGCAATCTCGAGAAAGAGAAAAACCGGTGTAAATATGTAAAATAAAGTGTTCCTGACGTAAACGCACAGAAGATCGTCAGAAGACATAGATCCAACAAGCGGCAATTTCGCACGAGAGTTCTCTGTCGGTCGTCCCGTTCCTCTTATCCTTCCTCATCATCGCATCGTACAGATTCTCGGGATGCTGTGGGATAAATTGGAAGAAAAATCTTCTTTTTAATAAAGCCGTGTTCGGATATCTACTGTCATGAAAATCTATAGTATATGTAAAGTCTATGGCACATGATGCATTTTTTTCTGCTAGATTGCTTGCATTTTAGTAAATTATTAGAATCGCATCACACAGAACGCAGAATTTAGTAAATTACTAGAAATTCATCCAGCAATTTACTAAAATGCAAGCAATCCAGCAGGAAAAAATGCATCGTGTATCGTAGAGACTCAACATGAAGTATCTATAAATTTTTATAGGGTTGGAAAAGTTACTTTATAAGTTACTTTTTAGATTATCTTATATGTATTTATTACAGAAATTCACTACAAAAAGTAATACAAGATTGGAACAAATGATAAAATTTTTAACATAAAAAATAAAATATTAGAACTTATTGTGTATTCAATTTCTATAACAAAAAGTAACTTATAAGTAACTTGTAAAATAACTTTTCCAATACTGGACTTCATCAGTACTGGCAGTAGTACATGGGTGCCTTCCAACAAGAGGCACACATGACATGGTGCGTCACGGTGCATCATTATATCCTTGTGGTTTGCCAATGGCTGCGTTCAGCAGAACGTTTGTTTTGCAACTGTTGGAAGTTTCCTTCGCGCTAATTGGATCATACTTTTAGATCTAGAAGAATGGTCCTATCTCAGCAGACAATCATAAAACGGTTGCAAAACTGTTGAGTCTGCTGAACGCAGCCAATGTTAAACAAGGATGAGATGATCACTGTGTTATAATGAGTCGCTTGTTGGAAGGCACCTTATAATATCAGACTATGGCCTAAATAAATAGCGATTATGTGTTGAACTCGGATTCCCGAGACACTGTGGAATAAATTGAGAGAAAAATCACATGTGTCCATTTCTGCCAATGTAGATTAACTTCAATCTGGTTTAATTTATCCTTTTCTCTTTATCCTTTTCTTAATTCTTAGAACTAGAAAAAAACAAAAAATAAGTTAAACCAAGATTACAGTTAACCATTGGTAAAAATGGGTATTAATAGGCAAACGACAGCGACCGACATGTGTTTAACACAGAGTATATATTAGCAGTCATAATTAGGTACAAGATACCGTTTGATGATAGAGATTCCAATATTAATATTCAATAATTATTTTAATTCGATGTCTGGACACTGGTAAGTGTTTTACAGCTATTTCTGCCCAAATGTAAATTAAATTTCATCTCAGTTTAATATTTATACTCTTTATCTTTTTTTAATTTCGAAATAAGAAAACGATAAAAAGCAAGTTAAACCGAGATGAAGGCCCGTATTCACAGTCAGGCCTTATATTTAAGGCTTCCTTAAATTTATCTTCAGAACGACCTATACGAACGCGACCTATACGATAGGTGTCTTTGTTTAACCTACAGGATAAACAAGGACATCTATTGTATAGGCCGCGGCCTAAATGCACGGTGTAAACGTAGCCACTATGAATACGGGCATAAGTTGATCGGGAGTTTAGTCGAGATTATGATCCCTTACCAATTTATTTTAATCAACATCCCCTCGCATAATTACAGCCAATTAGGATAAACGTGAGTCTCGTAATGCTATCGATTGATAAAATTACCTTCGTAAAATAGATGAACGATTCCGAGATTCGTGCAGATTCCTTCTTGTTTACGAACGGTCGCGATCAGTCGCGATTGTGATTGGTCAGCACTGTCAGCAGATTGGTGACTCTCGAGAAGTGCACGATAACGGATTTTCAATTTTCATAGCGCGCGCGGTACTTGTCGGTACTCCGTCAGTAACGACCGGTAATAAGGGAAGCGCGGTAAACGGTATATTTGTATTTGCATGAGATAGAATATATCTTGCAGGTAAGTAGGATGTGCTCGCGGAAAGGTAAGATCGGTAAGATCGATACTTGGATCGAAGTCATAGAAGTGACAACGCGACATCGTGAACCGTTCAGAATTTTCGACAATAAAGGCGGTTTCACTTTTAATTGACTCCAATTAACGGCGATTAATTCAACTGGCAGAATCCGCTTAAATGGTTCGAATCTCGGATTTGTATAATTCATTATTCTTAATCCGCCCAATCTTTTTTACATATATTTCAAAGAACGAAAGATTCATAATCCTAGCCATCGTTAAGGTAATTATTTAATTATAAATATGTTTTCGCGATACATTTAAATTTAAATGAAAAAAGAATTAAAAAATGTTGTTTCTTGTAACTTTTTATTACAATTTAAACTGATTTTGTTTACCGGTCATTTGATGCTGTAGTCCAATTACTCGATTGCGTTGTGCCGTTTCAAAATAATTCATAAATTCTTCTGGTTGATGTAAATCCCATCAGGTAGGCCCTGTCTTGTCTTGGGACATTCATAAGTTCTTCTATGGTTGATGAAGGTCGACCAAGCGTTCGTTATATAAATTTGTAAAAAATTTATTTTACATACTTCCAAGTAATTTTAAAAACAATACTAGAATATACGAGCAATGAGAACGTTAAAAAACAGCGCAGCAATTGGTGTACAATTTATATAATAGTCAAATAATATTCAAGTCAATAATATATTAAAAATTGTACAATGACTGTCAATACAAACTTATTTTTAGACGTTTCGGTTTTCTTCAAACCATCTTCAGCAAATTCATAAATAATTTTCATAGATTTCTTGACAAAATAGTTGGAAAGTGTTGAAATTATGCTCTATGTGAGACAGGATGAGTATCTCCCTACTGTCTTGTTGGAAATTGCCCAATTTTTGTCTCTTTGCTGTTTAGTCAAGTGACTAACTATAAAGAGTATTACAATTACAATAGGCAAAATTATTAGTTACAATGTAATGAATTCAATGCATGCTTATTTTACTTATCTTCCTTCTCTACAGATTACGCTCAGTTATTCAAAACGTAGTAAGTCAAATTATAAAAGGTACGATTACAAGACACCAAAATTTTCGTTATTACATTAAGTATAAAATATAAAATATAAAAAGACAAGTAATGACCGTCAAAAAGTTTCAGCTGTTCTATTTTTTTTAAATATTCAACGTACCTAAAATTACATAAAAATAACTTTGATTATCCAAAAACATTAAATTAGTTGTACATTAAATACCCATATAAAAATGTAACTTAGTTACATGCACACGAACACAAGTACACGCACACGCATGCAAATATGTGTATATACATATATATTATGGGATGATCGTTATTTTAACAAGTTTTTAAATTTGATCGACACACCTCCTAAAGTGGTTTAATATCTCGAAATAACACCAGAATTTTTACAAACATTTTGAAAAATATTAACCTGTGCTACACACCGGGACATAGTTGGCAGAAAAGCACCTTTGTGCTTTTATTACCCATTTCGGTAAAGGATTACCTCCAAATATTGTAGAAATAATTTAAAAGTATAAAATTAAATTAAAAAGAAAATTAATTAAAAGAAAGTTTATTATACACTTAATGCTGATTACGAGGTAATCCAGAAGACCAAATTCCGATTAACCTAATTACCAATTAATTTGACGAATAACATTTGCAGTACTTAATCGATCAACTTGAATAGAATATATTATCTTTTCGTCATTTAATGCAAAAAGAAAGATTAATTCAAGAGCGATGAATCGCAATTTCTGACTATGTTGTGAATAATTTCTACCAATGTAAATTAACTGTAATTTCGGTTTAACTTATATATTTTATCATGTTTTAGTTCTAATTAAGAATCAGAAAAAATCAAGAGTAAGTTAAAAAGAGATTAATTAATAAAATCTGAGATTAATAAAAAAGTAAGTTAAACCGAGATTAATCTACATTAATAAAAGTGAATATAATAGAAATTGCGATTCGTCGTTCCTGAATTAATCTTTTTTTTGTAGATTAATCTATATTGGCAAAAATAAACAATAAAAATTTTACTACGAGCAACCATCGATTGTATTAATTTGAGTTTGATCGAAATCGCCCCTCTATCGTACAATAGTAATCAATAATTATAATTGGAAATCACTCCATGAAGGAGTTTCGGGGAAAAAATCATGAAATTTTTCGAAAAACACGATTTTAATCGTGAGCAGGTATATACATACATATATGTTTCACAATAAAATTAAGACTATATATCGCATATTCGATGGATAAAATTAGTAAGTTTCATGCGTCCCGGAAAATTCTCTAGATATAAATATAAGCACATGGCGTCGGATTATAAGATAAAATAAATTATAATATACAAAAGGGGCTCAGAGCAAAAGCAAGTCGTTAGCTATCTTTCAATAATAATAATAATAAA